AACATTGCATAAAAATTTCATTGGGAAAAATTGGGTTTTTTATCAAAATTTGAGAAAAAACAGAAATTCAAAATGGCGACTTTGAGGTCACATGACTACCTAATTATGCAAAATACCAAATATCAATGTTCCTCGCGTAGGCCAACCTATAATGTTCCTCGCGTATGCCAACCTATTGCTCGCCCCAACACACAAAAAGAATTTCGAAATAACCTCTTTTAGTATTTTTTTTGAATTATTTTAAAAATTAACTTTTTTCGTTACAAAAAGTCCCAGCACAGGGGGTGCATATACCTACAGCAGTGAAAGGGTTAACACACACAGTACAGTTTTTTAATAGCTGAATTTTATATTATTGAAAATAATGTTTGTTTTTTATTTCTGTAATATAAAGAATTTACTTGATTATACTGTAATACTAGGTATTTATTTTACAATAACAAAATTATGCTTATTCCAAATAAACCCTCTCGAAAGCATTTTACAAAATCCCAACAGAGTCAGATCATCACATTTTTTTTTTCAATCATTATACAGGGTATCCTGTTCAGTAGATATCTACAATTCTTCCCAGTTAGGCCAAAATAAGAAAAATTTATTGTGTCGGCTACGCCGGACCAACCCAAAATGTTTGAAATTGATGGTCAGCATTTTATTTAATTTTTTTTGACAACGAAAATTATTTTTTTTAATGATGATGCGACCGTGTTATGCGATTGTTTTGCCCTTCAATATAAATTTTAAAATGGTCTTTGTTGTGCTTTTGTGTATTTTCTACCTTTCAGGCATAAACACATTAAATTTTCCTACCGACCTATGCATTTTTGGGATTTTCCCATAATGTGGCAAACACAAGAAATTTTTTTAATGGCCTTATGCTAATAACTAAGCCTCCTTATAAGTCTTAGGTTCTGGAGTTGTTCTAGAAATGAGAAAATTCCTGCTATCACAGGTATTGAACTCAGAACCTTGGGTGGCAAGCATCTTAACGACTAAGCTTTTTAACCAAACTCAATCTTATGAACATTGTGTGAATTTACCTGTGAATAATGCGAGCTAGCATATTGAGGCAATTTGCAAGGATGAAGCCCACACTGCCGATGCTTTTAGTAAGAAAATATGATGACGTCAAGAAAGCAATGGAGAAAACCAACATCTTACGATTGTAACTACAAGTAAAACAAAACATATTTGAAAAATGCCAATTTTTCAGCATTTGAAAACAGCAACTTAAGCAGTTTTTATTTCTGGTTTTATGCATGGTACATGCATACACATCTTAACAGAAAATCTTTATAATTTTGTCAACATTCACAGTTTACATCTATTACCTGTGCCTGATTTACTTAATCTAAAATTGAAAAAATTCGGGAAATACTTAATCTTCAAAGTAATCTCTTATATTATATGACATCTATTTCATTTTTGTATTACAACATTAAAAATTTAATTTCTTGAATACGAACCTGTCAACTTCTTGTTTGCCCATTGCCGCAAACACAAAGCATTCTGTCGTTCCATTAATTGCTATCAGTAGAACATACATACAATAACATCGTAGCAAGAGTGGACCTTCAATTACAAATAAAAAAAAAATAATACAGGTAAATTATTTTATTCAAAATTCTTATCTATCACTCTTAAATTTATAAACCAGCCTTTTCAGGTGCTAAAACATTTTAAAGTTGGATTGCGAACTGATATACAGTATATTTTTTATTAATATTTATATTAATGTGAAAAAGGTTAAGGAACTGGTCTATCCTATTGTTTAAAGAAGCGTTTGCTATATGTAGACTACACCCAGAACTTCAAGGTAGCTTTGATCAGTAGAGTAAGAATGCTTTGATCTTTTGTTTTAATCACTGCTATGTCACCTACTAGAGGTAATGTTTTGATTGGTTAAACACTTTTGGTACTAGTGCATATAAGCTTGCTAATATGGATAATTTTTTCATTCCTGATGATGACATAATTAATCTCGAAATATTGAATCCCAACACGATCAATACTTGGAGTATGTATTATACTTTCTTAACCTTTTTCACATTAATATAAATATTAATAGTAAATATATATCAGTTCGCAATCCAAAATTTGGGGTGGTCTTGGGGTCCTGACCTTTGGATATTGTTAAGGTCCCACTAAATGACAGTATAAAACACAAGCAAAACATGCGTTTTTGTTTGAGAGATTCATGCATATTCTGATTAGTTAGTTGTCAAGTTTGATTTACACTCAGAGAAGTCAACTAAGTACTATTTTGATTTAACAGTCTGACCACCAATCAATCATTCAATTAATCATTCATTCAATATGTTAATTCAATCATTTTTTTACCAACCAATTAGTCCATCAATCTGTCACAAGCAATTCATGTAAATTAAATAAATGAGTTTGCCAACCAATGAGTCGGCCAACCAATCAATAAATCAACTTATTGTAGTTTTTAATGGTTTTGAAGCACATTTAGATAGTTTTTATTGTGGAATGCACAATCATTGACCCTCATTCAATCAATTAATGAGTTTATCAATTAAGTCAGAGTATATGGGAGCTGCCGTGACAAAATCAGTCTTGTGGTATGCCAGGTCAAATTGATATAGTGAAGAAAATATATCTTAAGTGATATTCTGGCAAAAATTGGGTTTCAAATTTTCTGATAAGTTTATTATGTATATTTCATTGAGCCAAAGTTCTGAGTTGCATTACCTAAGGTAATCATGTTTTTGAGGCACTTTTTGTAAAGCTTTTTTTAAGAATTGATAAAAAACCAACAATTAATGAACCAATCATTTATTGTTTATCTTTAAAAGCCATTTTCTCCTAAGTATGTTTTTAGACATCTGAATTTAGAATTTACTCCTTTTTTTACTCAACCTAAGAACATGATTCAAAGACCAAAATATAGCTAATATAATCATCTATCTAAATATATCAATAACTCATTTTTCATTTTTTGTACCACAAGTATCATTTTGTCACAACAGCTCATATTATTTGGAATATTTATAATGAAAAAAGTGAGTACCTGTTCCTGAACTTAGCAAGGTGCCGGCATACAAGTCTAGGAGTAGGAACGAGTAGGCATATCCAAACACCAGGATTGTTATCCCAATCAAAACAACACACTTCAGCAATGCTTCTAATGCTTTTGATGCCAGATCAATGGATTCCTAATAGAAGAAACACATTTTTAGCATTGAATTATTAAGACAAACCATGAAATGATGATACACAATGGCACTTTATTAAAAGCAAATTTGTATGTACAATGTATATGACAATTATACAATATTGTACAATATTCCTTTATTTATATATTAAAAGATTTACAGAGGATAATTAACCCATTTCTAAGAGGTGATATTAAGTTGTCCTTCATATTAATCATAAAAGATTTGTACAAGTGATTGGTGCAACAGTTGTGGCTCACCCTTGAGGTTAGGCGTTTGAAACCCTCGATGAAGAAGGCACTTTACCTACTACGGTTGTCGCTCTTCTCCCATGAGTATTAATGGGTACCTAGAAGGTAGGATCCAATACCAAGGACTGATCCTACTGGCTTAAGGATTTGTGCTCACCAGGGAGCTAAGGATGTGTTTCATAGGTGTGTGGTTCAGTGACCTGGGGTCAATAATGTAAAATGGATAGAAGTAGTCTATTGCAATATGCTCTCTATATATAAATTTTGTATTATTACTATAACTATTATTATAAAAGTTGAAGCACTGAAAAGTCATTCTTTGTCTGTAGTAACGTGAAGAGCAGATAGGCCTTGATATGAACTTCACAAAGCTGATATTATCATTATTATAAAAAATGATTAATAGATTCAAGAGTAATTTAAAAAAAGTTATACCAACCTCTGGTTGTTTCTTTGCTACCTCTCCCCTCCTAATGGTTTGGGCAAAGAAAAGATAGCCACTTTCTTCGATTGGTAAGAATATAAATCGTGCCGCTAACGATCCTAAGTTATTGATGATGTCATATATTCCTTGATCGCCAAAGTTTAATACATCAAATATTGTCATCACATACCGTTCACCTAAATTGAATATAAAAATGTTGATTTGCAGTTAAGTAGGGCGACACTGCACAAATTTCTGATTTCCAATATGAATGAGGGAAAATAAAGAATTGAAAAAGAAAAAAAAAGAAAACAATTGAAAAAGAAAAAAAAAGAAAACAATTGAAAAAGAGAAAAAAAGAAAACAAAGAAAAAAAAATTATTATTCATCACAAAATTTAAGTACAATTTCATAGTAAACAATGTGATATGAAACTTTCATTCGAAGAGTATTATTTGAGGTTCAGTCAGAAGATGAATCATGAAGGCAGGATTCTGTAGCATTAAAAATTATTGCTGATTCAAGGTTTCCTCTCCCATTGTTTGAAGAGGTGGTGGGGGGGGGGAGGGGTAGTCAAGGGGCTTTGGTTCATTTAACTACAGAGCACTTCTTTCCGGCAACTACGATACTCACTCACCATAGGCTTGTATGGAATTTAGAACAATGACGCTGCGAGCTACAATTTAATTGCTTACGTTTCAACATACCTGATAACATTTTTGTTTTGTTCTTTACGAAAATATAAACACTGTACTGAAAGATACTGAGCAGCAATAGGGCTTCTAGCAATTTTGCACAAGGATGCTACGAGTTACAAGTTAATTTTTGTTTTCTTATTTCAGAAATATAAATAATGTACTCAAATATACTGAGCAGATGTAGGGCTTTGTTGTAGGCTTCCAGTTAAAACAATCTGAACAAGACCATCAAATATGCATACCTTCTGTGAGAATCTGCTTAAGAAAGCCTTGCTTGAAAAAACTCCACACTAGTCTGCTCGAATATATATCCGCCCAATACTACAAGATAACAAAAATAGAATAACACATTATGAAAATATAGTTATCCATATAAGTCTTAACTTAAATGTATACATTTTTAGCGGCTTAGTTCAGTCGACTAAACTGGTGCTAGCCACTGTGTGTGCGCTGAACTGGGGAAATATCTTGGTCTCATCGCTGCTCTCATTGTGTTTCAGCTGGAGGGCTGAAATACAAGTTACGATAGCGCACCGTCTTTTGGATGAAGCATTTAAGCTTTTGGGCCCATGTGTACGTTAATAAACGCAGTACACTCTTTGGAAAAGAGATGGGGATTGTCTCCCAGTGTACTGACCAATTCACCACCAGAAGGACCCCACTGGAAACAGGTCTTTGGACTTAATGGGTTATTCTTGGTGTGATTAACACGAACAACACTCCTATCCTACATTTCCATTCTGTATTTTGTGTGCTTCCTGCTGATAAATGCTAAAGCAATAAAAATATTTTTAACCTTAATGTTATGCTTGCTTTTTTCTTTAAGAATAAATTATTGTCTCATGAAACATAAAATACTTAACAGAAACAATTTCCAAATTTAGCTAAATTGATACTCAATACAAGTTGTACTCACCTGTCCAGGAATTGAGCGGGGGAAAATATCTCTTATGCTTTTAAGTGGGAAGTCTTCATCTTTTCTTAGGATGATGTAACGTATGAAAAATATGTAGTAAAAACTAACGTAGATGAAAGTAAAGACAAGCTGTAAAAGATAAAATTATATTTACAATTTATAATTAAGATTTATAATAACAATGTTAATAATTTTATTTAAGATTTATAGAGCTTTTCACAATCAGAAGAATTATTAAATTATTTGCCTTAAGTCCAAATTTCCAAATCTCTACACACTAAAGTACTGTATATCAATTATAGAAGTACATCACATCAACATGTTACATTAGGCACAAACCAATACTATATTACTGTACTGTACATACAAAACAACAGCATTCTATCACCTACTAATTTATCATTTTATTCAAGATTTATAGAGATTTTGACAATCAGAAGAATGATTAAATTACTTGCCTTAAGTTCTAATATTCAAATCTCTACATACTGTATATCAATTACAGAAGTACATCACATCGATATGCTACATTAGGCACAAAATCATACTGTATTACTGTACTGTACATTCAAAACCACAGCATTCTATCACCTACTAATTCAAACAAATGCAAAATGTACAGCAAGGAATTTGAAATTACCTCAAGGTTAAAAGCACTAACTAGATTTGCTATTCCAACCACTGCTTCGGTTATTGATCACAGGCATGAAATGTGTTCAACCTATATTTAGTGAGCAATACTGTATAATGATGCAAAATTCTTACTATTTTTAACGCACCTGAGCAATACAAAATACAATGATGCCTAAATCAGGAAAGTTGTGCACTAGGATTACAGTCATGATGCACCTGCCAGCAATTGCAGCGCCCTCAATGATCACCTGTCAAGAAAAAATTTCATTCTCTGAAGTATTACCCCATCCTCATTATTGTCAACTGAAATCTTATCATTATTGATTAAAATCTAATCATCATCATCATCATCATCTCGTCAATCAATAATTATTTAACACCAAGACCATCACCAGCAGATTACAGTAGTAAATAACCATCAAGATCATTATGATTTTGATCAGCATCATCACATCGACCAACTTCATATTGATCATCATCATCATTAGCTCATCATAATCCTCAACATGATTATCAACATCATGATCATAATCGTGATCATTATGAACATCAACATGATTATCCTCATGACCAAAATCATAATCATCGTAATCATCCTAATATGGTTATCAACATCATCATCATTAGTTTTATCATCATTATTGCTATCAGTCATTGTTATCAACATTATCTTCGTTATCATTGTTGTCCCTATCAAAACATGATAATTTTCATGCTGCAAGAACAAATACTTTACCTTTAATCTAACAAACAACATTGCTTGTCCAAGGACCCATAAGGGCTCCACTAATAGTTCCAAGAACATTTCCATTCTGTATTTTGTGTGTGTATAAAATACTTATTCCAGATGCAATTTCCAAATTTAACTAAATTGATACTAATTAAATATACTCAATATAAGTTTTACTCACCTGTCCAGGAATTGAGCGGGGGAAAATATCTCTTATGCTTTTAAGTGGGAAGTCTTCATCTTTTCTTAGGATGATGTAACGTATGAAAAATATGTAGTAAAAACTGACGTAGATGAAAGTAAAGACAAGCTGTAAAAGATAAAAGTATATTTACAATTTATAATTAAGCTTTATAATAACAACGTTAATAATTTTATTTAAGATTTATAGAGCTTTTCACAATCAGAAGAATCATTAAATTATTTGCCTTAAGTCCAAATTTCCAAATCTCTACACACTAAAGTACTGCATATCAATTATAGAAGTACATCACATCGACATGTTACATTAGGCACAAACCAATACTGTATACGACAAAACCTTTTTTTCTGAATGAATTTAAGTGATATTGAAAAACAAAAGTGTATTGAGAAACTTAGTTTATATTTATATTCTACACTAAGGTTATTCACTCTGCATAAAAAAGAAATAAGCTTAAGCTATCATTATACGAATGTTAATAATTTAAAACACAGACGGTTATTGACAAAGTTAAGATTAGGCATACTGGAACTTGAGATTGAAAAGGGGAGGTGGGAAAATATTGATAGAGACAAAAGAATCTGCAAGATATGTAATAACAATATTATTGAAGATGAATTTCACTTTATTTTACAATGCCCATATTATGCTGATTTAAGGAGCAAATATATTCCAAAATGTATTTACTTATATCCATTTATTCACAAGCTCTGTCTATTATTTTCAAATACAAAACATATTAATAATTTAGCAAAATACGTCTACTTTGCGTTTGAAAAAAGAAACAAATGTATTATGTTACAATAAAATATGTTTAGTATTAGGGCCAACGGCCCATGTACTTGAATAAATTCCCTGAATAGGGAAAGAAAGAAAGTATTACTGTACTGTACATTCAAAACCACAGCATTCTATCAGCTACTAATTTATTATTTTATTTAAAATTTATAGAGATTTTGATAATCAGAAGAATTATTAAATTACTTGCCTACTTAAGTAATAATATTCAAATCTCTACATACTAAAGTACTGTATATCAATTACAGAAGTACATCATATCGATATGCTACATTAGGCACAAACCAATACTGTATTACTGTACTGTACATTCAAAACCACAGCATTCTATCACCTACTAATTCAAACAAAAGCAAAATGTACAGCAAGGAATTTGAAATTACCTCAAGGTTAAAAGCACTAACTACATTTGTTATTCCAACCACTGCTTCGGTTATTGATCTCATGCATAAAATGTGTTCAACCTATATTTAGCGAGCAATACTGTATAATGATGCAAAATTCTTACTATTTTTAACGCACCTGAGCAATACAAAATACAATGATGCCTAAATCAGGAAATTTGTGCACTAGGATTACAGTCATGATGCACCTGCCAGCAATTGCAGCGCCCTCAATGATCACCTGTCAAGAAAAAATTTCATTCTCTGAAGTATTACCCCATCCTCATTATTGTCAACTGAAATCTTATCATTATTGATTAAAATCTAATCATCATCATCATCATCATCTCGTCAATCAATAATTATTTAACACCAAGACCATCACCAGCAGATTACAGTAGTAAATAACCATCAAGATCATTATGATTTTGATCAGCATCATCACATCGACCAACTTCATATTGATCATCATCATCAACATGATTATCAACATCAGGATCATAATCGCGATCAACATGATTATCCTCATGATCAAAATCATAATCATCCTAATATGGTCATCAACATCATCATCATTAGTTTTATCATCATTATTGCTATCAGTCATTGTTATCAACATTATCTTCGTTATCATTGTTGTCCCTATCAAAACATGATAATTTTCATGCTGCAAGAACAAATACTTTACCTTTAATCTAACAAACAACATTGCTTGTCCAAGGACCCATAAGGGCTCCACTAATAGTTCCAAGAATGCAGAGAGTCCAAACACAAGCACACCGGTATCATAATGTGGCAACAATGCATCATCAGGGCGCTCAAGGACGAACATCCAGATAAAGCCGAGAACAGTTGAACAGAAAAATCCAAGTGGAATTCTGAATAATGAGAATAATAAGTTTACTTTTAAAGCAAAATAAAAGTAATTATTTTAAAAAATAGTAACAACTTCTAAAAATAATCATACAAAAATCTCAGATCATTATTTGGCGCATAATGTGAAATAACAAATATTTATATAGTGCATCAATTTATAATTATCAAAAGGCACTAAGTGAGGATATAAGGCAAGTTAACATTCCTGTAATTAATAAGTTCTTTTGTTTTTATTTTGTTTAGTCATCTTCATTATTTATGTATTTTTTGTTTTTAATATGTCAGGTCTGATGTTATCATCAAACTTGATGAGAGGCAGCCACAGTAATTATTTAATTTATAAGCCATGAAATACTCGCACCTAGGGCTAAAACATAGCGTGACCCACTTAACAACCTGATAAAGGAAAGGCATTAGTTAGTATACTGTATACATTAGAATATATTAAATGTTCCTTTGACTTTTTGGTCCCTATTTGTATAAACTCATTTACTACCGAACTTCACCAATACACATCGTTTGCCACTTTTAAAAGAAAACTTTCTAAAAATATCTATTTTCCAAAATATTTTAGAGGTAATTTCTGTTATATAAGAATGTTTATTGTGAATTTTTTTTGTGAATGTTCAGCTTATTCTTTTACTTTTACTTTTTAAAATTTATTTTGTTTTATATTATTTTATTTTTATTTATATATTTATTTATTTATTTTAACTTTTTATTCATTTATTTATTTTTCTTTTATTGCTCTAGCTGTGTTTTGCATTCTGAATTATTTCTTTTTTCTAATGATATCATTTTCTTTTTCATATTTCTCAGACTATTACTGTGTGTATTTTATATTTGTTTGTTGAGGATCCTTAATATCAGCTCTCTATTAATAGTGAGCTGCATGGGTCATCCTCATTAAATAAAGTTCAAATAAATAAATAAACTGTTCATACTGTTTTAATCATGACTTGTTTTTATGGTGACTGAGAATTCTCAGTGTGGTTTGCATTCTATTTTTTAAATGATTCTGAACTTTACCCTTTTAATGGAAAATATATACAGTACTCAAATAACAACAATTATTCAGGTCTTCCTCAATTAAAGACACTTTGTGGGACTGGGGTTTACACAGTCTTTAGCAGCATTGGTCTCTAATTAGAATAATAAAGATAAAAGACATTTGTTAATATTGCTCAACAGATAAAAGTGGTCATCTATCGGAGGATGTCTTTAATTGGAGGGGAACCTTTAATCAAGTTGAAACATTTTCTTCTTTTACATAAAATGTAAATGAGACTGAATGAACAAGTTTTGATCCTTACGTGCACCAGATAAGGTTGATTGTCTGAGTCCATTGACCTTTGCTATCGACGCTTAGACACGCTCTACGGAATGCTTCTCTCGCTACAAAAAGAACTGTCGAATACAGCAGAGTTAACCTTCAAAGAGTATGAAAATTAGGGAACATAATTTTTACTAATCAAATCATATAAAAGATAAAAATTTTGCATTATATCATTCTTGTAGTAATAAAATCATATAATATAATGATATATTATATCATTGTTGTAGTAATAAAATCATAAAACTATACAAATTCTGCATTGCCATTTCCTATTTTAAGAGCTTTTGTATTTATTTTAATTTAACTTTAATATAATCCATCCATCCTTGGACCCTAAATATGGGCCCCATTGCTATATGAACAAAACAGTAGATAAAACATTCTGGTTTGAACACTACTCCACTATATTAGTTCATACTAATTTGTAAACTGTGTATTTTTACCGATTAAAATGCATTATAATTTAAAATTAAAAATTATAATGCACATAAAAAAAGATAAAAAACAATTTGCCTGATTTTAGTTTAAAAATAGAGACTGTGGTAAAAAAATGAATTAAACATTCTATATTGAATAGTCTACACGCAATGAAAAAAATCACTAATAAACCATTGGTGCTGTTTGATAGAAAGAGTTAGCTATAGCAAACAATAAAAAAAAAAAAGGCTACATGTACTGTAAACGCAACATATATCCTACCTGACATTAACTACACCGATCATCTCCTTTGATATGTATCGCAGGATAAAGGCATTGAGGAGAAACGTGATCATACGAAACATGACCTGATAAAGAAAAAAATACATCATTAAGAAATTGAGGTCATGCAATAATCTGACATGGACGATAATGATGTGGTTTGCTCAGATTTTACAGGGTATCCTGTTTAGTAGACTGTTCCCACAGGGCCTAGTTATGCTGAACTACGGTAGGCCTAGTCTCATAATGAGGCTTAGGGAGGGGCCTGGTCTAGTAGTAATACTAATATTAAGCAATTAGTAGAGATCCACATAGTACATTATAGGAAAATTATTATATGAAGGTAAGATTTAATGCTTGAAAAAATTTTGAATGCATTAAATCTAACCTAAGTATAATAATTTTCCATTTAGTGAACAATGCATGCTTTACTTTTGCTTTATAAGTCAATCGCCGTCTTTTAATTTTAGTTTTTTATAACCAACTGTTGTAGCAGTCATCGGTTGCTATACAGTAGTGATACGATCAGTATACGTGTGCGTTTTTACATTTAGCTGTGCGTATGCTGATTTTTGCTCCTGGCAGTATGTACGCGTTTAATTAACTACACATCAGCAGTACAGTACGGATACGATGAATAGCTATTGCGTTAGAAAGAACTTGTTTGTAATGCTATTTTGATAGACTTTCGTCAAAGAAATAAACATTTCAGCATTCAAGAGAGAATAAGTCACTGACGTCATTTTTGGTCAGTGCATGCAGACAGGTAAAATCGTGCGATGATTTTATAACTAGCTAGGCTAGGCTACGGCCTAGTAGCAGTAGGAGGAGGCCCGGGCAGCCTCCTGCCTGGCCGTAGGACTACATCTAAACGGTAGGACAGCCGATAGGCGATTTGTCCGTTATATCGCAATTTTTCGATCTTACTTCCGCATTTGCTTTGCGCAGCGCCACCTATCGTTTCAAAGCGTAACCACGTTTTAGCGTCGCTTAGCAAAAATGCATCAGCTCTATTTATAGTTCTCATTAATAGATAAGGCCCGCCCATGGCTTCCTTATATGATAAAAACATTTCCAAATAAGTCTAGTTTCGGAACCAATCGGAGTTGTTTGGGAAAACCCAAGTTAACGCAAAGCATTTATTGATTGAAGTTGACGCATGTGAAATAGTGAAAATCTGGTACGATTTGACTAGGCTTTTATTTACAATTTTCTCCAGAGTCGGATTTGCATCCCCGGGAATCAATATTTTTTTGAAGTGTTGATTTATCATGTTTAATCTTAGTTTAGTCAGGTAAGACCTGTCTCAAATCTTTTCGAAAAATTTTAATCATACTTATAGGCCGTAAAATTCTAGGCAATATTTTGAGCATCTGTGAGCACGCGGTAGTCGTAGCTGAGTGACGTTGACTGCATCCGTGGACCGCATGGTGGTGCGATCCATTGTTATACTAGCCTAGGAGTAGGCGTCTGACAGTGAAGGCAGACTGAGGCTTTGTTAGTTTAGGATAGACCATGTGTATCTATTTCCATCTAATTTCTATAATCATACTGATATTACCAGCCTAGCTAGCTAGCCAGGATTTATTTTAATGCTATAATAGGCATATGTGATGTCTATATATATATAATATTTGATGAAACATACACAGTAGTACAAAGGATAGGTCCAGGCATAAGATTAGAAGACACAATAATACTACAGTACTTTTTTCTATTTATTAAAATTCGGCATGTTCATATACAAAAACGCATGAAAATGAAGTACAAAAAAAACAGACAGGTTAGCGGAATACCAAAAGAGAAATGGGCTTCTTAAAGCCTGGCACCATAGAGAATTCTCTCGAAACCGCTAACCTGTAAAAAAAAGACAAAAAAACAAGATACAGCCTATCACTAGTGTAGTGTGTACACTAGCGAATATTATTTTGGGCATTGTGACCGAGATACAATAAAATAAAGATGCTGTCGCAAGCACAATTTGATTCATGTTGTAATAATTTTAATTTATAACTCAGGCTTTGATGTTAGTAAAAAATACCAAAAGCATACCAATCTCTATATTAATGAATACATTATGTAACCAATATACTTTATTTATTTTTAGGCACACCAATTTCAGATTCTGTACAGATTTGCAGACGACGGTGGTTATGAATGTGCAATGTTAAAAACTTTATAATGATGCTTAAGGATTTAACCATTGAACTCTAATCTACTTAGAATGCCGCAAATGCAGCAGAATAGCCTGCCTATGGAAAAACAAAAACTTGCTTAAAAAAAACAAAAAAAAACCACTGCAGCAGTGTAGTTATTGATTTAATTTTTTTTTAAATACAGGCTTTGCTTTGTTTTTAAAGAACAGTTGTCTTCATTAATTATTACTATTATTACTTACAGAAGAAATAAGCAAACTAATTATGTTTAATGCTTATGCAAATATAAATAATTTCTTATTTTAGTCAGATTTTTTAGTAAACCAGAAAATGAAATGTTATACCCCAGTACTCTTGTTTCCTGCACTGTATCAAAGTTTGTGTTTATGTCAGTCTTGAAATGTAGGCTTACCATAGTTATTGAAATAAATGTCCTGAAGGATATCATAATCAAATACAGTACCACCATGTATATTTATATTCCATAATAATTTAAAAGAGATAGGCTAGTATATACATGTGAATGTGTACTATGTAATAAAATATTACAGTTATTACTAAGTATTTTTATAAAAATGTTTTATGTCCTGAAAATCGCATATATTGAGTGAAATTGTGAATGACAGGGTGAAGCATGATGTACACTGGTCATTCAGCCAACAAGATACTGATTTCGGAAGGAATGGAGGCATTTTTATAAAGGAAAATCGTCACCGCATATTTACGGGTACACTAATATGCTAGGCCCCCCATGTGTCCACTGCTTAGGCCTCAGACTTGCATACGAATCAAATAGAGACAAACTGTAATATTGTCTATAGATTACTGAGTTAGAAGATTACATACTTAATAATATTTATTCTAAGGGTATATATTTATTTCATACAAATTAATTATTTGTGTAGCACACGGTCTTCGAAATGTTCTGTATATTACGATCTTCCCGAGTACGATCGCCGATATTTACAAAATGGAGTACACGCTAGTCTTTCAGTGCAACGAAATGGAGGCACCCTTAGTTTCCAGAGTCGAATTTGCGTCACCGGGGCTCGATTTTTCACCTTAATATTTTAAATTATAGATTATAAATTTTTACAGCAGGGATTTTAAATGCTTTACTGTTCAATCTTTTTTGTATTTTAAATTCGCGAATTACTAAAGCACAAACTCGTAAAAATTGTGTACCACGAATTGTCTATTGAATTACTCTTTATGGTTTTGGTCCAAATACACCAAAAATATTTCACTATATTGTTAAACTATTTATAAACTTATTTCACTATTATGTTTGTTTTGTTAAGTAAGTTACATGATGAAAATTCGACACGATTTTTCCAGTGGCTTTTCTACTGTAAATTTGTTCCTTGAGTCTTTAAAATGGGTCTAGAACATTCCTATTAAACATTAAACGTTCAGTTTGTTGTGTTTATGAAGGTCCATTGATTTAATGAATTCCTTTATTGTTCTACTTAATATTGAATTTGAAGTAACTTTCTTCGGGTTCTAATTAAGCTTGTTTTACGAAAGTAATTTTCAATTACAAATTCAATTTTTATTGCGGTGCGCGATGTATTCACGGTAAAAATAAAAATGAGGAATTTTTTTTTGCACACGAACCTAAACAAAATCAAGCTAAGCATCCACTAATAGAAAAATTAGTGGACGCTGGGGAATAGACAAATAACATTGGGAGTTACAGTGATGACGTTATGATTGACTTATATAATGAGGCTTAGGTAAGGGAGTTGTACAGAAAAAATCCTACTGTCCCATGAACTGGACCCAGAACCCTGGTACTGAATGGCAAACACCTTAACCACCAAACCATTCAACATAAACATAATGGATGCAGCAATATGTTTAGAGTGAAATAATGTATTACATTGGAAGTCAACAAAATTTGATAAAATACGGTTGGATTTGTTGATAAATAAGGCATGAATACAGGGTATTGTTAAAACATGTCAAGGGAGATGCAGTGTTGCCAGTACAGGATAGGACACCTTGCCTTAATTAACTAGTAATTCAGCAAAGTTGGTAAGTTGTTACTTTATCGCATACAGTACATTCATAAGAAAAATGAAGCACACTAAAAGGACATTTTCTTCCTGTGTACTGTTCACAATAAACATCGTTTTCTTACAGTGTAGCTCGCTCAGTAATATGCATTTTTGAGGGCCCTACAACACATTAAAATTTAGCAAGTTTTGAGTTTGTATGAGGCTATGACATACAAAACATACTGTACTCTAAGTGGAAGGGATAGTGTACTTTCTTTTGAATAAAAAAAATGATCTCAAAATAACGAAAATCATCATATTATTATCTTTTGGGGAAGGAGAGGTATAATCCAAAATTATAGTACTCTTAAAAATGATGGAAAAACTGGCTTAATATGCACCTTTTTTATTTAAAAAATCTTGGTAAATATTGTGCAAGATTTAAAACAAAACAAATATACAATTTTAAATATATATGGTATAATAAAATAAGTGCCTTAATTTGATATTATTATACATTGTTTTGAGGCTAGTGACTCCCCCAATCATGACATTCTAGAATATGGGCTTATTTGACTGGTCCATTTCGTTGACTACGATTATTCGTTGAGTACTATTTTCATTTGACTGGTTCATAAAATAGACTTCGTTGACAATGAAACTTAAACCAGAGTGTGTCAATAAGCAATTAGTAGAGCTCTGCATAGCACACTATAGGAAAATTATTATATGAAGGTTAGATTTAATGCTTGAAAAAATTACCTGAGGGCCTGCAAGGTCTGAAGGAAATTTTTGAATGCATTAAATCTAATCTAACCTAAGTATAATAATTTTCCGCTAGTGTACGATGCATGCTCTAATAATTGCTTTATAAGTCAATCGCTGTCTTTAATGTTAGTTTTTATAACCAACTGTGTTGTACCAGTCATCAGTTGCTATAGTGATTATGATCAGTGTACTGTGTGCGTATTTATATTTTGTGCGCATGCTGATTGGTGCTCCTGCAGTAGGCCTACATGTTAACTACACATCAGCAGTACCTATACGAATACGATGAATAACTAGGCTATTTTGTAATTTGTATTGTGTTTATAGAAGAAATTGTTTGTAATGTTTCACATTCGTCAAAGAAATAACATTTTCCAAAGCATTCAAGAGAGAATACAGTCACTGTCACTAACGTTTTGGTCAATGATTTTGGTAAAAACTGGGATGATTTCATAACTACGCTAGGCTACTGTATAGGGCCTAGAATATTCCTATTAAATGTTCATTTGTTTAGTTTATTAGGATTTGATTAAAGGAATTGCTTAATTGTTTATATACTTAATAACTTTCTTCGGGTTCTAATTAACCTTGTTTTACGGAAGTAATTATCAATTACAATTCAATTTTTTATCTCGATATCTTTTTGCACACGAACCTAAAAAAACCAAGCCAAGCGTCGACAGAGGGTGGTAGGCAAATACTGTAACATTGGGAGCTGCAGTGATGACGTCACGATTGACTTATAATCAGCGTTAAGTTATCCATGTGACCAGAACAAACATGGCAAATTGGTCAGTTTAGCAACAAAATTTGCGTTAACAAAATTTAGATTAAATTTCAGAAAATAAATATAATATATTTAACCACATGAAGTCAAAAAATGATAGAAGGTTAACAAAATTCAAAAACTGGATGAAAACGTATTTTTTTTAACGAAAAACCCATATTGCCACAAGCCGATGCAACCTTGATTAAGCAGCGTGTATACTTTGTCGAGTAATTACCATTTGTCTATTCTACTGCTCGTCTTTGTTCTGCGCAGGTGGGATGTGGTTTAACAAATAACGACCAGTCAAATACGGCCAATGTCAATCAACTGTTTTTTATTTCTCTTTTACTTTTACAAAATTCCACATATTGTGGCCCGGAGGCCAAATTGCATGTAAAATTACAAGTAAGAACATATAAAACAATGAGCAGAAATATAAAAAGGTCAAAAAAGACATTGGTGTATTTACGGAATTATTATTAAGCCGTGGCTGCAGATACGGTACCGTATTTCCACTTAGTTTTCCTAAAGGTACGGTAAATGGCATTACGTCACCATCATCCAATGAAGTGCCAGAATGTGCGTGACGTCATTTTTTGAAGACTGGCATGGAATTGCATATCACCAAAGAGTATATACTCTTTGATATCACCCGCAATGAGCGGTGGAAGGAGAACGATGTACTGGGAAATTAGAACATCAAAAGTACAATATTGTTTGACTTTACTGTCATCGTTAAATATGGCATATGGTTCCACTTTATAGTAAAGAGTTACATTTAGCTAGGCCTAGCTCTTAAACTCTTCGCTGGTGAATCTAAGCAATCATGCAGGCCTAGGACTTGCTTGGATTCTTCTTTTGGCGGCGGCCCTGCTCTAGTGACATAGGTGTGGGTGGCATATATCAGTCATAAACACGGTCTTACCAAGTCTGAAGTTCTCAATCCCCACATTCCAAGTTTTGGTCCAAGATGCCTAGATTATCTTATCCAAACAAAATATTCATACACTTTGAATGCACAAAACTTTACGTAGACTTCGTCACTCTTATGGTACAGAATCTAGGCCTAGATCGAGAATGAGTTTCCCCTTCGTGATTGGGGCCTATTAATTAGTGTAAAATTTTTCTAATCTACTTTTGATGCAGGGCCATTTAATGCAGTACTACGGTATATAAAATGCTAGGCCTGTATGAATCCTCTTGTTTACAGTATATTCAATTTTTTATTTAAGTGTTGTCATTTAAATATATTACCAAAGGGCAATTCCATGGTCACAGACTGACTTTTTAAGGCATTCATAATGGTCAAAAACTGTTCAAATATTACAGATAAACCAGTAAATCTGAAATTCCAAGTAAATTTTATACTCCTTCCCACATACTTTTAAATGACAATATTACAAAAATCAAAACATAAAGTTATTTATGAAATATTGATATTAATATGTTTGGTCACAGACCGACTTAAACAAAAAGAGAAAGTTTTACAAATATAAACTTTGTGCAATTCTATCTATTGAAAATATTACGAAAAGATTTATGGTAACACATCCAGTATGTAAAATCATATATAAGGAATTAGTATCAACAGAGAAGGTGATGTAAAACTACATCATGGGAATGGCAGGGTAGATGGTACCACCTTTTGTCTGGTCACAGACCGACGGTCACAGACCGACCTATCGATTGGCATGACAGTATATGATGGAATCTGGCACATTAAAAGGAGAAAACACTTTATATATAAAATTCAATACTAAAAACTTGTTACCAAACATTGTATATAAAAAAGCATAACTTAATTCCTTATAGTAAACTTTATTTTGTAATAAAATCAGATTATTTAACATATTAAGAATGGTATTATTTACCTAATAAACATCACAGAAAATAGTCTTAGGCAAAATCATGATTGCTTGGATGTTAATTGATCTGACCCAATTAATAAATACTCTAGTACTTAATGAAAAAAGGCATATTAAACCAAGAAAATTATGAAATGCATTTTATGCATTATGGGTATCTGGAAGTGTTTTCACATCCTCCCAGCGACCATCAAACATGCTCCATTTTCCATCTATGGTTGCCTTTAAAATGAATAGCATGGTTTATTTCCATTAGATGTTAATGGCAATGGTGGCGCCAGATGTTTGCCAACAAGGGGTCCGACGTGTCTGATGCAGGGGTCCGAACCAAAGTGACGACTAATTTGGCCACAGACCGACTAAAATTAATGTAATAAAAATATGAATAAATAAGTCCAAAAATTTAAATAATCTTGTCAGTGAATGTTAGCCTAATAGCTTCAATAGTTTTATGAATTTCACAATGGTTGAAAGCTGCATGACTTAATAAACCTAAAAAATGTTGTTTTTTGGGTCACAGACCGACAAAAAGAAATATTTTTATCCCGCCTTAATATTTTGTTGTACTGTACAGGTAAATGAATATTACTTTTTGTCACAAAAACTAATAAAATATGTTAAGTTTTTAAAATTTAAAATAAAAATGACTGCCATAAATAGCAGTTTGTTAGTTTCTAGAGTCTTTGAAAAAACATGACATTTTCATATCTTTTATATTTTCAAAATTATGTAATTTCAAATTCCTATATATTTTTATACATCCACACAAGAAAAGTTTCATCAATGAATCATAAAAATTCATTTTTTAAGCTTTAGTTTGATATAAAACTTGTTTACATTCCTAAAAGTTGAAAATTTGCTAAATCTGAAAAAAGGTCATGGAATTGCCCCAAAGACTAGCAGTAGTGTGTGTACAGTATATGTGCCTTGGCCTAAGTCCTGAGGATGATGCTTGCTTGATGGCTATATAAATGACATGACTCTTATTATTGAGTGGAACCCAATTACGCCTATTTTTCGATGACAGTATTTTTTTTTTTTGACAAGCACTAAAAACTGAATATACACAAGAAGATTCATAAGGCCTCCTAGCATTTTATATACCGTAGTACTGTTTTAATTAAGAGAGGTCTGCATTAAAATTATTGGAAAAATTTGACACAATAGTAATAATCACGAGGGAAAACTCATTCTTTCGATCAATCTAGGCCTAGATTCTGTACCATAACAGTGACGAAGTCTAACCCTAAGAAAAGTTTTGTGCATTCAAATTGTATGAATATTTTGGTCGGATTGTAAAGCGTGGTAATTTCGAATATTAGGCTTCTTGGACTAAAACTTTGGATGTAGGGAATATGAAGTTCTGACAGTATGATCACAGAGGAACTAGGCTAAGTTTATGATTGATATATGCCACCCAGATCAATGTCACCAAAGCAGCTGCCGCGAAAAGCAGAATTCAAGCCGAACAGGCCTTGCTTGCTTAGATTTTTTGCCAAGCGAACTGAATTTAAGCATGGTTATAGGCCTACATAGGCCTAGCTAAATGAAACTCTTTACTAAGTGGAACCATGCGCCTATTTATCGATGACAGATACCAAGTAAAACAATATTGTACTTCTTGATGTCCTAATTTCCCAGTACAGTACTGTACATCGTTCTCGTTTCACCGCTCATCACGGGTGATCTGCATGCCGGTCTTGAAAAATGACGTCACGCACATTCTGGCACTTCATTGGGTGATGGTGACGTAATGCCATTTACCGTACCTTTAGCAAATTGAAGTAGAAATACGGTAGGCCTACCGTATCTCTTGCCACAGCGTTACTATTATGTCACAACATTTTTTCATGACTGAACATTCTTCCTATCATCCTAAGGCTAGGCCTTTAAGATGTAGTAAGAAGGCAAAAATGTGCATACATAGCCCATGTCTAGGAAGCCTCTCTCTAGCCTCTATGTAGGCCTAGGCCTAGCTAGAAATTAATATTAAGGACAAGGTGGTGGTTGCTTTACTTACCTGAAGTACCATGTTGTAAGATGCAGAACGTGCTGCACTTGCTAACACTTTTCCAGATGAAGTCATCTTGATTAAGTCCAAAACTTAGACGAAAACTAATAATATTGATGTATGTACGGCGGAGACTCTCTCTCTCTAGGCCCTAGGCCTACCACCACACTCAGCCTTCTTCTTAGTTCAGGATGGAGTGGGACGCCGTCGGGTGATTACCAGCAAATCTGCCTGGTCTAATTAGGCCTACGCCTGCTGTTTGACTAGCCTATGATGAATTATAGAATTCTATAGTATAGTATATATGTATAGAATTCTATAGTATATGCCTAGGTAGAGCGGCCTGGACAGGCCCTACTGTACGTTTTAGCCGATGGTCTTGTTCGAAAGCATGCAGCGAAAGATTATACATCCTCCATGTTTGTTTGTTCGTTTGTTGCTGTGATCACGTGAGTGTGTGTACGACAGAGTTGCACGTGCTAAATTGAAAGAAAATATGATTTCTTTTATCATTCCAATACATTATATTTATTATTATTACAAAAGGATAATATGTAACATGAAATGATAAAAATTAGATCCGTTTTTGTTGAAAAAATTGCTTAGAAATAAATAAATAATATTTGTTACGTTGTCTACGGCCATACTACGTTGAAAACACCGGTTCTCGTCCGATCACCGAAGTTAAGCAACGTCGGGCCCGGTTAGTACTTGGATGGGTGACCGCTTGGGAATACCGGGTGCTGTAGGCTTTTTGTTTTTTGTTTTGTTTTGTAGGCATATTGTAATTTACTTATCTATAAATTACTTTCCTTTTAAGTTTTGGCGAAAAAGATGTAATACTAAATAAGTTTCATTAATTTCATTTTGTTTCTGATCAAACAATATATTACATCATGTTATTGTTTTTACATTACATTTATATAATATAGGCCTATATATATTTTATATATATATATAATAAATAAATAATTATATAAATAAATAATTTCCCTTTTAAGGTTTGATGAAAAAGAACAAATTTTGTTAATTGTATATATTAAATCATGTTCTCATTGATTTTCCATTACATAATTTATTTCAAAACACGAATTCGTCCACTCATCAGTGACTTCATCAGTGTAAGTGATATAAATTAGAGATACTGGTACTTAACAAAAAGTTTGCTGAAACTCAATTGGCCTATCAACAATGTATGGGCAGTTCTAAACTTAGGTTGTGTTTACGAACTTTCAACGAAACCGTATAAGTCAAAAATGACATAATGCCAGAGGGTAGGTCATTAGATCGCTCATTTACGAACCCCAAGTTATTTGGATACGGACAGTAAGGATAGGCCTTTCATGTAAACAAAACAAACACTTCACCGCTTAGCCTTCCTCAGCACAACAAGGCAATTCAACAACGAATTACCTCGCCTTGCCTACGCTCGAACTCCAACCAATTCTAAAAAAACCCAAGCGTTAGAAACTAGAGTCTAGCCAACTGGCAAAACTACACAAAAAAAACAAAAAACAAAGGAAAACAAAATAGCCTATACAGACTTACTACTACTGTACTACTAGTTCCACTGGTGTTCAGAGCCGACAACGACGTGTCAACAGTGTGTGGTGGAAAAGAAATGGGTCTATCGCCAAAAATTTCGTTCATCATCTCAAAATACGGCCATTCTGTTGGATGGGGGGGGGGGTTTCCTGATTTCCAGTTGGAGTACTTTTCCTGGGTGTATTTTTTTGCGCTTTAGAAACAACGTTGTTCCGTCGGGTTCCATCAAAACCATCTTGTATGGATGTCGTTCCCCATATGCTAATTAACGTTTGGGTTGCTTCGTCAGTCCACCCACTCTGTTCAGCTGCATATAGAGGTATATTGTTGTAAAAATAATATTTCGGCTTAAAAATTGGATAACATTTATTAAGTGAGGACTACTCTAGCAATGTCACTGGACGAAGGCATGGATGAAAAGAAATTGCGGATTCAAGTTCTTAATCTGAATAGATTTCTCATAAAAGTAAGGTCAGTTGACACCGTGCTGTGGGCTATTGCGCCCGAGGCAGCCTCGAAACCTCCAAACTTATCCGGAAAGGATAAGCCCGGAAAGTCCAGATGTTTTAGTAATTATAGCTAGTTGAGGAATGATTAATTATCACCTCAGGCTTGAGTTATCCGGTTTTCGAAAGTTCGTAAACAGGCCCTTAGTGAGAAATAAACAAAAATAGTAAACGTACAGTGATCTGGAAGGGGGCTGTAAATGTTGATACATTTTATTAAACTCGATTAGAATTGATTAAATAATCATTTAAAACACCTAAATTGTTGTATTTTTCGGGGGATTTTTCCCCTGGATCACTTTAAAAACAAAAATTTGTAGTGGCGCACGACCACACCCACTTTTCTCTCGTCAGAGACATCAGACCCCCTATTAGGCAAATACGGGTGCCACCCCTTCACAGTCATCTCTTCTTAAAACTCGCCATTTTCCATAGTTCATACTTTTTTGGCATTGTGGTCGCTATTGGAAAGTCCTTGGCTGTAGCCTAAAGGATTAAAAAAATATTAACAACTGTATTGAAACTCAACTTAATTTGTTTTCTGTTGACTCCTTTTTTTTGGACTGATTTTTATTTTTTTCCGGTTTTTCTTGTATGTTTATTGTAAATAAGATAAAAAGTTAAAATAGGCCTAATTTGTAATTTGCTATTATTATTTATATATATTTAATTGTTTAACTATTTTAAGGGGCAGCTGGCTACCCCTGTCCAGCGTTTCAGTTGTTGTTTTTCTCACATATCATATTTTATTTATTGTTTTTGTAAATGTTGGTCAAATAAATAAATGAAATGAAATGAAACTCAGTAAACCCGTAAATAAATTTGTAAGGCTCTTTATAAAAAATTTACAGCAGTGACTTTTTTATATTACAGAATATATATTTTAAAAAATGTGCAACACACATAGTTTGTACTACAATGTTAGCAAAAGCAGCTATCAAACCTGTAGTGACATCATAAAAACATGAGTTGCAATTATTAAATTACAGTGGTATTATCTGTACCTAGTTTAAAATGCTTACAGCATGACAAATACTTGTAGTAAACTTAAATTAAAAAGTTAGTCTTTTCACAAATTAAACATATACTAAATTAAGTAAGGACAAAATGTTTGTGACCTTTTACCGTCCAGACGCGTGCACAGTTCTGGAAGAAATATATCGTAGCACCATTACTTTAAATGTCTTACCATTATTGGCATATTTTGAGTTCCTATTTATGCCCATTCAAAAATTGTAAAAAATAATTTGACAATAACACAAGTCTACAAAATATTGGACAGGGACTTGTCATGCTACAACCGCAACACATGTGAGAATTCATTATTCAAATTACATTCGTACAGTACCGCGAAAGGAGCAGCAGAGTATTGGTAAGTGGAACGTACCACTTCAGTGATTGCGGCTGATACAAACGCATATATGTTCACTAAATAATAGAATAAAAATATTATAAACTGACTATGTTAATCACTAAAATAAGTGATTGTCTACATCCATCACATTTTAGTATGTATTGTATAATCCATACCATATTCTTTACCAGTATGCCTATACCTGCTTCAACATTATAAACAAAATCATTATTGACTCATGTTCTTCTTTATTTAAAAGGTAATTTGAATTTCATTTGCAAAGGTCTTTCTAGTGACAAGACAGAAGGTGGTTCTCCAATTCATTTAAACTTATGTTGTCTATATATGAGTTCCCTTTTTCTGCTCCCCCTACCTACTGCAAATATCTGGACCCTCTCCTGTATCTCACAGCCTCACGAAAGGCCACCGAAGGTGGCCTTTTTGCGAGTATTTATATTAATGAATTGTAAATTGGTACTCCAAGCTCTTTCGGCTGCTATAATAAATAAACAAAATAAATAATGAGTATTTTTAACACACAAACTCTAATTTTTATTTACTAGGGAATTTTTAATTGATACTTACCACATTTATAAACGATTCTATGTTATGTACAAAAAATATCTCAGAATTTAGTTTTTGACAATAAAGTTGACTTGTATTTTGTATCTTGTATCTTTTATGAGGATTATGGTGATAAAAAGTTATAAATAATCTGATTAAGTTTTAATTATGTTAATTAACAATGAGCACACAAATATCAATAGCAATGGGCTCCATTTTCTTATTTTCAATCTTGTATTGCCAAAGTTAAAATCAATTACCATGGTAAGAAAAATTTACAACCCTATATACAACCCCGGTGACAATATCGTAACACTACTACTGGAAAACTTCAGCAGTGACCTTGTCCCTGTAGGCTTTTATGAGATGACAAGCAGAACAGCGCTATAGGCCCTGAAGTTCTTCTGAGCTGTCAAGTACACACCTGAAAATGCAAATAATAATAATGATACAATGATTATAATAGATGGATGTATATAGCGCAATTAGTCCAATTGTGACAAATTATACTGAATCTAGAACTAATTGCAACAGAAATCTCAGTTTTGCCAGGAATAATAAAAATACAAATTCAATAATAAAAAGATTTTTTTGGGGAACAATATAAAAGCAGTAAAACATTAAAATAAATAAAACTTTCAAATACAGACAAAATGAGGCTAAACAATTTACGTCATAAAAATAAAAAATGCGAAATAATAAACATAAAAAGTGGGAAAAAGAGCCAGGACAACTTCAAAATGATTCAGAAGATTATAAACTGCTGCCTGCGCCCGCTGGCGCTTGCTAGTCTTGGCAATGATTTCCCACATTTGCCATTTTGGTCTGTTGCTGTTTTGGTACTTGTCATTGCCATTTTGATCTGTTGCCGTTTTGGTCTGTTGCTGTTTTGGTACTTGTCACTGCAGTTTTGGTACTTGTCATTGCCATTTTGGTCTGTTGCCGTTTTGGTCTGTTGCTGTTTTGGTACTTGTCATTGCCGTTTTGGTACTCGTCATTGCCGTTTTGGTCTGTTGCCGTTTTGGTCTATTCCTGTTTTGGTACTTGTCATTGCTGTTTTGGTATGTTGCCGTTTTGGTACTTGTCATTACAACTTTTTTTCCCTCTCATTCTTTTTCCAATGTGAAATGTCTTAATGATCTGCAAATGTTTAATACAGTACTCCAACAAGCAAATACATTTTACACTTATTTTAACTATTAAATTTATAATTCAGTATTATTTCAATATTATTTGAATTACTTTTCAGTAATATTTTATGCTTCTATGTATGAATCGCAAGAGAAATCATCCAATATAGAGTGCATTTATTGTACCAATAATATGCATGACTGACATCATCAAGGCACACTTGATTGCCACAATACAATCACACTTGTTAGATAAACCTGGAAAAACCCACTTCTGTTGTACAACTGAACACATACCAGAGAAATTTAAGGTACTGTAATTATTATAATTTGATTATTAAAGTTGTTAAATAATAATAATGTATAATTAGATAGACAAATTAGTTAATCTAAAATGCATTGGGCAAGTGAGTGCTGACAATGAACCATCGAATTACATACATTTCTGTGTAATAGATGAGCCGTACTAGTCTGATATATTTATAGCAGGGAGTTGTTATTAGAAGAAGTCACTGTAAGAAAATGAGACATAAAGAAAATGATAGTTAACAAGTTGCATAAACTATTTGTCCTAGTTATAAAATGGAGATACTGTACGTGCGGAAAATATAAAATATAAGCTTTAAAACTTTCCAAAAACCCATGAAAATTACAAATGACGGTGTACGAACAAACACATATAGTCGTAACTTTTTAACGAAAAGGCGAATTTTTATGCGGTTATTTGTAAATTATTCTTCGTAAAACTCTCTTGAGATGCAAATTTATTGAACAGCGAAAATTAAATAAAACAAAACTCTGCGCATGCTCTACTGGTCGTTTGTCACAAAATTATTTTCTCTACAAAGACAAAATTTTAACAACTGAGGGCGCAAGATCATCGGGAAAAGTACCCTATTGACAAAAGACAGGCAGTTAGTCACGGTTCTCTTTGAAGATTCAGTACACCGCGCTTCGCTCATTGGCTGTAGATAAGTAGATAAATGTGTTGTGACGACTCCTAAATAACAACTCCCTGTTTATAGTAAATAAAACACTGGACATGAAGTACTTTAAACACTAGTTTTAAATAATATATTCCAAATTGTCAGACACTGCATGTACTGAATCTGAAGCCATTTTCAGACAGAGGTTTTGGCAATATTGCGGTACACTTACTGAACAACTAGGCTCTAGGATATATATTCTGGGGAGGGCAAGTTGTCCGACAGGGGGCCTTGAGCCTGTAGGCTCAAGCTGCTGAAGGGGTTAAAAGGGGTTCCCCTCCGAAATGAGATTTTTTTTAATAGCAACCTCTGGATGGCCGGAAATGACACTCTGAGATTGACACGTGTTGGCTTGGTGTGGGCCTATTTTTATATGTTTTATGGTCTGACTGCCCGACGAGCTCTGTCCGGCAGGGAGGCTTGACCTGTCCGGTTTGGGGACTTAAGCCCCCCTATCCCCCACTGGCGCCGCCACTGTTACTGAACCATTCATCCAACCAAATATTGTGGTAATATTTCCGTAATGTAATGCCCTTCTGTATGAATGGATCACAGACGCTGAATGAGACACTGGTAAATCATTTTAATCATTTGACTGAGGCCGTGCTTCTATATATAGGAAATTTTTAAAAGGAGTAAAATGGCGGGAATGTGACTGATAATTGTGATTATGATTATTAAAATTAAATAGGTTTGTGCTAAGAATATTTCCTGTGCAAAACTTAAGACCTACAAATTGAAAACTGATTTGAAAAAAAATCTGTATTCAAGGGTGATAATTATGCCAAAACCAGTGATTTTTTAATTATTTATAATTTACAGGATTATTTCAAGATGGCTGAAAGTGAACTAAGTCAATTTCTGGAAAATATTGATGAGAAGGTCCTAGAGTGCACCATCTGCTTTAAGCGACTTAAAAATCCTAAATCACTCAACTGCCTTCACAGTTTCTGTTTGGCATGTCTTGAAGACTGGGTTAAGACGAAGGGACAGCTGATTTGTCCAACTTGCTCAAAATTGTATTTCATTCCAGAGGGCGGGCTTCAGAAGCTTCCGCCTAATACCTTTATCAATAATTTATTAGAAGCTATTGAACAATTTTCGAAAGATCAAATGAAATGTATTTGTGCAAAAGAACAGGCAAAATACTACTGCCAGGAATGCAGACATTACTTGTGTTCTCCATGTAGTGACCATCACCAAAAATTTCCAATGTTGGCAAACCACAAGCTACATTCAGTGGAAGATGTGCAATCAATGACACCTTTACAAATTACATCATTACAACCTCCGCTGTGTTCTCTTCACAATGAGCCTTTACAATTTTTCTGCTGCATATGCAATATTCCAATATGCACAGACTGCACAATTACTGACCACAAGGAGTGGGATGGAAAACACAAATTAATCAGCATTTCTGAAGCCTTTAAAACATTTAAAGAAACTTCAGAAAAATTGGAGAAAGCTGCCAATGACTGCAAAAACAAATTACAAGATGGGTTAAAAGCTGTTATTCTGAATGCTACCAAACTACAACAAAGCAAAGATACAAGTTTGAGAGATATTGACAATCATGTACAAGAAATGGTCAAGAAAGTCAAGGAGAATGGAGATAAGATGAAAAATAAAATAGAGACAATCTACAAAGATAAAAAGAAGGTTTTAGATGTACAAATGGATGATTTGAAAAAAACAATATCTGACATAAATACAAAACTTAGTTTTCTTAATCAGTTATTGAAGATTGATGAAGCAACAGCAATGCAATCAAGTGAAAGAGTAATTACAGCACTCAAAGAAAGAATCAATGAATTACCAACTGAGCCAAATGATAATGGACACATTCATTTCTATATAAACCAACAGCAAATTGCTTCGTTGCAATGTGATATTGGGTATGTATCACACATGAGGGCAGCAGAATGTTTAACATTAAAGGGGGTGGAATCTGTGACCAAGGGTCAGACAATTGTTGTCAAAGTTATCCAACCAGATGAGTTTAAAATACATGCAAATCAGCTGAAGGCAACATGGACACAGCCTACAGGAGAAACCAACATCACACAAATTCAGGAAGATGATAATGGAGATTACTTTGTGACAGGAACCTGCACAAGTCCAGGTATATGTAAACTAGATGTGCATGCTGACGGTGAACCAATCAAGCAGTCACCAATGATAACCAAAGTAGAAAAGGAAGGATTAGTAAATACCATTAACATAAACCAAGAATATGTTAGAGATGTAGTTAAGTGTGAAGATGATTGCTTGCTGGTTTCATGTGAGACAAATGAAATACTCAAGTACAAGCAATCAGGAGAATATATTGGTAAGATTATACTACCACCAGATGTCCAAGTTTACAGAATGTACAAAATGAAGAATGGTAACATTGTATTTAGTGATTTGGGTTATAATAGCATAAAAATATGTAATATGAATGGTCAGGTGATCAAATCAATTGGCTATGGAGTATTACAGAGACCGTTTGGTATCCATGTGGATGAGACATCAAATGTTGTGTATGCAGCATATGTTTGTAGTAACTGTGTGTTCATGTTTGACATTGACAGTGGCCAAATGATGAAGAAGATAGGATCACCGGGTGGCAACGATGGTGAATTAGGTGCAGTCACTGATGTTACTCTTACATATCAGAGACATATTCTCATATCGGATAATGACTATGGCAGATTACAATTATTTGATAATGAGGGAAGGTTCTTGAAAGTCCTTGTTGAAGCAGGTGATGAGGATGGTAAGTTGATAGATCCCCGTGGAGTAGTAGTTGATGAGGATGACAACATCATTATATCAAGTAATCACAAACTACAGCTATTTAGTAGTGATGGAAAATTCATTAAAAGAATTGATAAACCAGAAGATGGAATTAACAATCCACGTGGATTATGTATCATTTCATATAATCCACGCACAGTTGCAGTAGCCAATAACGGTAACAAAAGTGTCGACATATTCAATTATTAAAAATAATGATAGTCTGCTGCCCACATATTTTTGATATATTGTGTTTGCATTAAATTTGAATATTGGCATATACCATATGAATCTAATTAAATTCTTTTATTACTTAAATATTTTAAATACAGTAGTCATGTTTTCAGGATGGCTGTCAACTTGGTAGTATAAATTATTAGCAACTTAATATATTACTACCCCACTGTGGCCCTACATGGCTGCACTCCTTAGGTGCCCAGGATATGAATGTATGAAAACTAATTGTTGTACAATGGTAATGTTAGAAAATATTATGAGGATTAGTGGATGCATTGCTTTTAATTGAGTGAATAAATCTAGTATTTCACATGACTTGAACCCATTACCCTGAGATTTGCCTGATGGCAAACAAACTACCAGCAACAGCTCTACCAAAGGTTGTTTATACAATCAAAATATGCTGCGCATGTGTGTGTGATTGAACACTGTGATTGGCTGTTGGCTGGTGCTACATGAACTGTTGGCTTTTAACAGTAGTAAGTACCAGCTGGTTAGTAGTAGTAGTAATAATAATTATAATACTTTATGCTAATGTAGCTGCTAAAGTGTTTACTTGATTTTCTATTTTGCACCTTAATTTGTGAAACAATGTAAAAAACAGAATTAAGTTTTTAGTGAGTACTTTCTATCTGTTTTAATAACTGATAAATTTAATTGTAATTAATATTTTTGATTATTTTTAAGTTCATAATGTTTAAAAGTGAATATTTAGTTATATTTAAACGGAAATATGTTTACAGGATGGAAATTTAAACGGAAATATGTTTACAAGATGGAACAATGCTTTAAACTAGGGCTGAAGGCTGAGAAGATACAAAGGCCGTTCAAAATGTACCTTATTGGTACAATTTAAAAAAAGAACCTAAAGGCCAAATTAGATAGTTAGATGATTTGTACAGATTAAGGTCACTAGCTAAAGATAAATCATATTGGAATGGCATGATGGATTGAGAGAACTGTTACAGAATAATGTTTCAGTCATACCATAATTTTTAATTAATAAATATTTTATATTTACTTTATCCTAGAAAACATTATAAGTTACAACTTCAAAAAAAAATTTAGCTGTAACTTATCAAGAGACAAATTTATTTGTATTTTGGAATAAAGTATATAACAATTAAGGCAAGGTTGTGCTTTATTGGCAAGGTTTAGGCTACGGTCACACTACAGCCTCAAGCCGGGCTTGACTCACTGCGATCGAGATTTTCGTAGTGTGACCGAGTCTGGATTGACTCGTGCCTGGCTTGAAATCGCTCTCGACCCATACAGCTCAACCCAGGCAAGCTACCGAGATTGACCCTGGATTGACACTGGCGCGACCGGGATTGACATTTCTCCGTCGGAATATGACCAATCAGAGGAGAGCTAGCGAAAAAAAAACCCGCGAGCTAGAAAAAAACACAAAACAAACTAGGTGGCTATAGTACTAGAACTGCTGTATTTTTTCCATTGATATCATTTTAATATTAATTGTAATATGCGAGTGTTGTGGACAGACAACGAAACCGCCGATTTAATAGATCTGTGGGCCCAGTCTGAGCTACGGGATAAAATCGAGGACAAGAAGTGCAACAATGGCGTTTACGAGTTGGTAAGCGAAAGGTTAACGAACTTGGGGTACGAAAAAAGAACAGCGTCACAGGTTCAGAACAAAATAAAGGCACTGAGAGCCCAATATAAAACAATAAACTTCTTGTTAAGGCTTGAGTGATTTCGGAGGTCAAAACCCAAGCAACCAGGTCAACCCACGTAGTGTGACCGTCCAACACTTTCAAGCCTGGCGTGAAATCTCAATCGCAGTGAGTCAAGCCAGGCTCGAGGTTCTAGTGTGACCGTAGCCTTAATACCTGTGTATTCATCAAAGTCCAGATTCATATCAACCAGTTTTATAATTGATATTGAATGTATTTGTTGTCTCCTGAAGGCTTTAACTTTAATACTATATTTTGATAATAACAATCTCCATGAATAACAGGTACAGTAGTTGATTTTATTGGTAGATGAAAAGTATTCTAATATGTTTGTTATGGGAACCTGCAAATCTTAAGTTACTGTAAATCGATACTAAATTAACATAGGCTGAACATTTTGAAAAATTAACTGGTAACATCTCTAAATGCATTGGTGTTATACACCGTGCTAAATATTTTTTACCCCATAATACTCTTAAGATGTTGGTTAATGCTCTAGTTATGCCTCTTTTTGAATACTGTAATTGTGTTTGGTCCAATTGTAACTTTCAAATTCTCTTCAATTACTTTAAAACAGATTAGGAAGAATTTTACTTTTTGCAGCTATAACACGCTTAAATACGGTACAGGCGCAAGTTATTATATTGGATTTTTGGAAGATAATAAGATAGTAATTTTTAAATAATTAGAATGTTCATTTGTACAAAAAAAAAAACATGATTTAGAATGATCATTTGTACAAAATTAAAATACTTAAAATTGAAAAAGAAAAAAATCTTAAAATTGAAAAAAAAAAAAAAATTGAATACCAACAGACGATTCAAACTCACGACCTTAAGTACTTTAGAAAATATCCTTAACCGACCACGCTATTCATGCGACGTGCGCTATTAGTGGTAATGGCAATAATGTACAATCCTTGTTTAAAACCCCTGTTTTGTAGGCGACGCTGGATGCTTTTAAAGTTTGAAACCCCTGTTTAGTTTTGTAAGTGTAAGGGGAACTCTGGGGTCTTAAAAAAGGGCAATGAACGTTTGTTGGAAATCACCTCTAGTTTATATGTACAAAATTTCCTGCACGTCCATTCAAAACTAGTGAAGCTGGACGGTTTAAAAGTTTTAGTAACAAGAACAAGAACAGCAGTGTTTACCAGTTGTAAATATTTTAAGTTCATTAGGGTGGAGCAAACTCAGTGATAAAAGGGACGAACAATTGCTTATAATGATTTTCAAATGTTTAAATGGTCATGCTCCATCACATATATCTAAAAATTTTGCTTTTAATTATGGTTTGCATACACATTGTGTATTCGCAGTCAAAGTAAAAATGTACTTATTGAATACACCTGGAATAATATGCAAGATATAAGAACTTTTGTATACCGGACTACTAAATTATGGAATGAACTCCCGGATCATACTTAAACCAACTTTAAATCTATGAAACTTTCAACTTTAAGCATTCTATTTCAAATCCTCAATAATACCATCTTAAATTAACTAGATTTTCTCTTACCTTGCATATCCGTATTTATTATAAATATTATTGTTTTTCTAAGTTTCTTGCAATCTTCCTTTTAAATTTACTTTTTAATTTGTAGTTAAGTTTTTGCTGGTTTTTGTTACAATGTGTATATGTCTTCTTTTAAAATGCTGTAGTTAAAAACTGAACCACTTTGGAAATGAGTACTATGTACTGAAAGTGTATACTCAATATAAAAAAAAAATAATTAAATAAGAAAAGTTAAAGTTGAATTATTATAAAGAATGTATAACGGTTTTACACAAGAATATAGAAATCATAATGAAAGTGAATGTTGTGAGAGAGTTGGGAAGATAATTAAATGTTTATACAGATCTACAATCATGGAATTTCTTCTGTAAATTTTAATGAGACTAAGTAACATAAAGGAATCATAATAAAAAGCATCAGACTTGTAGTTGGGTCATTGCAGTTGTACATCTTCTACTACTTCTTGAATTGCAGTTTTCATTGTTCAATCAATATTTTTGAGCAATCACTACATTAATGGTTTCTAATGAATATAAAGTTAACAATTTCTAAATTACATTTTTCATTATTGAACATTTCAGCCATTATATTTTTCTCTTGTGGACATCAGCAGCCGACAAGATTTCATAACGTAAAATTTATTCTAACCTTGTTTGCTCTAGCTTTACCGAGTACAGTGAACATCAGTGGGACAATAAGTCATGGCTTAAGGATCCTTGGTTTTGTCCCTTTCTTATGATACTTTGGCGTTGAAACTGTAAGATAAAATACAACAAATATTTAAAGACAGAAAAAAAATGAATAAAAATAGGTGCCAGATGGAGGGAGCTGAAGCCATTGTCGGCCTGACCAAGCCTCCCTGTTGGATACACTTGTTGAACACAAATTGTTTGAGTAAATTTGTAAACAATTCCAAAACTATAAAAGTTCTAAAAATGTTCTTGGCCTAACCTCCAGACCCTGCTGGAAATTGTCTGACAACATCGGAACACTCAGCACCCCACAAAGAGGTCAAAGTACATTTAGCACCTCAAGAAATTGTTTGTGTTGAAAACAGCTCTTTGATCTGCTTCCACTGGCAAACCATCCTATATAATATAATGCTCTTAAATGGAAAAATTTTTGTGTAGTGATGGCTGTGAAACAACAGTAACGTTTACAAAGAAACTAAAATCACCGTACACAGATATTAGAGCCAAACCAAAATCAAATACTGTATGAAAAAAAATAATTCACTGATGCTGATGGATGATGTCACAAAATGTCTGGCACTTGATGGGTGGTAAGCTTTACTTATGAATATTCAGCATCCTATGCTGCGTACCAAATAAGAATCTATGGTCCAAGCGGGAAATGTATTATTTTTCATATTGTGGAGGTTTAGTCTTTCTATGTCCCTGCAGGACTTTTAGCAATATCAGTCATAATAATCTCTAATAAAACAATTCCACACTTGCTTTCTGTACAGTTCAACTTTATTTATCCACAGAGGCCAATACAATATAATGCAATATATATAAAACATAAAAATATTTTGAGTAAAATAATGTTTATATTTGACTTAATTAATTTAAAATTTAGATGAACATAATGTTGGGGCAATTTGAATGTCAACTCTCAGGCTGTTCTATTCCAATCACCCTTTATAGGATAGAACATTATGCAAGACAACATTACCTAAGACTGAATATAAAAAATGCAGTCTATTCTATAAAGGAGCATTGGAATGGGACAACTCAGTGTTGACCTCATTAATTTATGCTGCCCCAACCGCTGCGACATGGTATAGCT